AACGCAATGCAAACACAAGGTAAGCCATTTTATTCAAATTATTTTCTACACGTAGCATTTAGAGTAATTTATAAACGGCTAAAATTGTAACGCAATCGCCAACAGCATAATGTCACGTATTAATCGTATTCAACGTCTGGGCCGCCTCTGGCCAACGATGGATTTGGCAGCTTCTAAATCACGTCTCGATTTAAAAGTTATATTGTTATCTTAGGCATCTTTTGCTACAAAAACATGAAATAAGCTAATGAAAAGTAATCCATGATTTTGTTTTTCTTTAATTTTACAGAAGAAACAAAGTGAAAAGATGGAGAAGGACCTTTTTCACATATGATTTTGTGATGAGACTGCATCAACGCCATGTGAAAAGAAAGTTCACGATGAATAACTTAAAATACATATTGCGCTTTAATAAACATCGGTGTGGCACAGAAGCAAAAAAAGTGTGTTGCTGAATGTTGTGTTGATCACTTTAGTTATTAAGACAAGAACGGTTATCGTCCATCCCTGAGGGCCGGTGTCACTAACGTAATGTGACATTGTGGTCTCAAACCCCTTTCTCTGAATTCAGCTACCCATACAGGCCTTAATCCGAAGGATATCCCTCTCCGGTTAAATCAAGATCACTCCCGGCTTCAGAAGTTACTGGAGGACCTTGAAGTGGTCGATCCAGTGATGCGAATTTTACTCGTGTGGATTGCCCTAGCGAAAAATCTACGCAATGTGTGTGGTACATAATATCAGCGGGAGGAATGGATACCATATAAGTACCGCAGAGAAATGGTAGGAAATTTTCCTAGCATTCCTTACATACTCTCACTAGGGGAAGGCGTCATAATCTGTTTCAGTGACATGTTGATGATATTAAATAAAAAATAAACCAGAAAGGGCCGATGGAATATGAGACAAGCTTTAAAATGAAGTCACGATATCAATAGTGCTTTAAAAGTAAATAGCGCGTTCGAGTGATTCCCGATACTTCCAAATGATGGCGGACTCCACCGACGCCAATAATCTGGAACAAAACAAGGTCATTATATATCGCATCACGT